CCTAGGTAGTGTCTAGAATGAACTTGAAGAGTGTTTAAAACCTACTGCATTTACCGGTAGTTTCACTCCAAAGAAAGGTCCTTTTCGCAAGACAGGCCAGAATATCACGTATGGCACGGACAGTCAACAACAGGCAAGTGGTAGTGGTCACAATAGGGAACAGTCTAGAGGGAGTTCTGGTTTTTAAGTCCGGTAAACCCTATATGAATAAAGGAAAGAATCAATTCAGGAATTAATTCAAAATTTCATATAAGCATTTAAACGTTTCTAAAAACTAATAATGACATTCACAAGGGATTTAATATCGCGGAAAAATGATAAATTGCGAACATTGCAAAATTAAAACCATCGTGATTATTTGTTAATCTATAGTATTTATTAATTAGTTATCTCTGATAAGATAAATTAATAAAATGTATGATATTTTGTACTATTCAAATGAATTCTAAATATAGATTATGTGTAGATTATGCTTAAAGGAATTCCCCATTTTCAAAAGGTGAGTTATTTCCCCTAAGGGAACTCTTTTACTGTGTTTAATACGCATCGCTAAAAAAAAATATTCCCGGAGTTCTTGATGTAAATATGTTCATGGTGTAATGACTCTGTCATATGGAAAAATGTTATTGTGTTTGTGAATAAAAAGAAATCTTAACTGATTCGTTTTTTTTTTTTTAAATTGACCACTCATAGTCTCTTTCTGGATTTGTATTAATCTGTATAGTAGTATAATAAGGCGCTGTGTACCCCCCCCCCCCCCCCCAAAAAAAAAAAAAAAGAAAAGAAACAAATTACTGATAAAATGCTGATACATATTCGAATAGACCTTTTAAAAAAAAGCTAATTTTGGTAGTGGATGTTCTGCATACGGATCATCATTTTTTAAAAAAGGGGGAACAAATTTTTAGTTATAAATTTTTTACAATTAATGTAGCCTGCTGCAGCCATATTTTCTTTAAATTTCTGGAATTTTTTTGAGACTGATGACATGTCCTTCTACAGTTTTACCCCTGATATTGCTGCATATACAGCAGTAGTTCGTCTTCCGCGACCGATACCAACAAACTGCGTTAATTTTTGCTCGATTGTATGTCATAACATAGACCTTTTACTTATTAGAACACATTTGGTGACAGTTAAAGGCCTATTGCATTTGAATTAAGCGTGTTTCTAGAATTTTTTATTTGTAAAATAATTGATTCAGTGTATAATATTAAAACTTTGAATGAAATTCTAAATGAATAATTTAATCTCATCAGTCTGACTAAAGCCAGCCCCTACTATTATGTTTATTCACCAATCAAGGGCCCACAGGGGGCATGAACAATTATTACAAAATGATAACATTGATTACAATTCTATATTAAGGATAATGTAACATGACTTGTGATTAAGTTTGACATTAGAAGTGCATCACCACACTGGATCAAAAGCATAGAAACCATAGAATGAAAAAAGAAAACACAATTAAATAAAAATGATAATATAAGGAAAATTAAAAAAAAAAAAAAAAAAAACATATCACTTCGTTACCTACTAAGAAGTGATATAGTAGGGGCTGGCTTTAGTCAGACTGTTAATCTCATGTGCTCATGTAACGAAGAAAGACTAATTAAAATAGCATCGACCTGAATTCGTGTTACATATGTCGTATAAAGTCTGATCTGCATTTAATCAAAGTTTTAATGTAGGATCTAAGCATATGTACATGTATATTCCCGAGTAAAATACACAGTTTGTTTTAGATTGATCAGAAATTGAAGCAGAAACACGAAATTGATACAATAATTTCCAGGATTTCTCGTTAATTAACAAAAAAATTTTTTTTAAGTGTTTTTTTTTTTTTAATCCTTTCAGTGTAAGTACACGTTTTTTTTTTTATAAGTTATTCTTTTTTGCAAAGTGTGTAAAAACAATATCAGAGAGAGAGAGAGAGAGAGAGACTCTTAACCCCGTGTAACAGACATACCCCGTAATTTTATTGAATTCACAATTAATAATTCTAATGATTTTTAATTTTCACAACTATGGTTCATATTCAACTGTTCAACCCATTTACATATTCGTTCATATTCGTTATCTGTACCTGTACGCACGGGGGGGGGGGGGGGGGGGCAAGGGCCTTAGCCCCCCCCCCCCCCTTTTTTCCCAATATTACTTTTTCTATTGAAAATGTTCATTGATAGACAGGTTGCCACCCCCCCCCCCCCCCCCCTTCCCCACACACACACACAGTTTTATACGGTAAAATTATACAAGGGAAATGTAATTGTATAAAGGGAAATGGTACTAAAATAAGTAACTTTTTCAACTTTTGGCAAGGTTTTTTTTTTGCTTGTCAACTTTTCCAGGAAGAAAAAAATATTTCTTTGCCCCCCCCCCACTTTTAAAGACGATGCTACGTGCCTGGCTAATTCGTACATTATAGCTTTCTAGAAGGGGGGGGTTAACAGACCCTTTATAAATTAATTTATTATCTTAAAAAAATGCAAAACCCTTTCCTTCTTTTTAAAAATTTTTTAAAAACAGCGTGTAAGTTGTTCATTATGTTGTGGGATAATCGCAACGCGTAGTCCGCGGAAGTTAGGCTAGTATAGAAGAGTTCCGATTTTGAGGGGGGATAACTCACTTTTGAAAATGGGGAATAAGGTTGAACTCTTGTGGAAGTGTTTTGGAGTTTATTTGCAAAATTAATTTGTAAGTATAGTACTTAGAGGCTTCAAATAGAGGTGATAGGTTTTACAATTTATCAGAAGAGCAGTTCAAGGCCCTTGGGCCCCTTTTTTTGGAAATGAGAAATTTTTTTTTTAACTGCATGGTTGTATTTCTCTTCTTCCAGTTGCTAAGTTTAAGCTAGATGTCACAGAACAAGAAGCCTATGCAAAGCTCAGGGAGGAGTTCATTAAAAATAAGCATGTCACGGATTTAAGAGTTGTTGATTTACTGGTTGTAAAGGTAAGATAAATAAGTGTGTTTTCTTTGTCTTTAAAGACAAACCAAACTCACAATGTATATAGCTAGACTAGCAGAAAGTTCAAATGATACCCTCTATCACATTTTGTCCATCTGTCCATCCATCTGTAAACATATTACATGTACTATCTGACTTCTTCAAACCACCAATTTCAAAAACTAGCCACAAATTTTCAAACACAGAAAAAATGTTAATGAGTAAGAGGATGATGATAAATAACTAATAAAGAGGAAATTAAAATAACTGACAGCAATAGTCATACATTTACAATGAACCACAAATGCCAATTTGTAACCACGCATTTTTTTTTTTTTTCAAATATTCAGTGCATTTAAAGCAATATGAGCTGTATTTTTGAGAATTTTATTTTGCGGTAAAAAGTGTTATTATGATTAATCTGTAGTAATCTAAACCCTTATGATCAATAAAACCAAAAAAAGTTTAAAAATGGTTCAGAAGAAATATGTCTGTACAACCGAATATAGTATTATATAAGAAATCATTATTGTACAGGACGACAATAATTCAATTTTGCTTCAATCAACGTGTATAAAAAGTTCTTTCATAGCAAATATGAACAACAGAAGTTTTTAATTGTTCTATTTTCCTGTCATTGAAATAGTCAATTACAAATTTGCAACATTTTTTTCCGATGTCAAACATGCAGCTCTTATTGCTTTAATAGAAATATATATTTAATACAAAATCTAATCTTACATAACTAAAACCGATAGGTAAGGACATCAACTTTTATAAATATTTTATTTAAAATGTAACTGAATCATTTTTTAGCAATATCTAAATAAAATGAAAAACTATAGGTTGATTTGTAAGAAATATTTTGCATATAAGTTTGACTTAGCTAAGACCTAGCTTAGTTCGTTTTATGTTACGGTTTAAGATATACATGTACTTAAGTTGTACTTCTACAGGTCCAAGAATTGTGCCTAAAACATACTTATGACCCTACGTAAGTCAAAATCTTAACAAACTTATATGGTATGAACCCCTGGTATATTATTACTACAGGTACTGTAAGTCTACCTGGTTTGTTCCCGTTTTGCACACATTTAATTACAGATAATTAAAAAATGTGTGAAAAACGGGAATTTGACCAGGTGAGATAATTACTTAATTGCTATAGTCTATACTATACTTGGCTTAGCAAGTATGTGAAAGATGAACTTATAGTGAAAAAATAAGAGAACAAATACAAAGTTAATGTATTTGATCCGATGATCTTATTATAACATCTTTTCAAATTAATTTTTATTCACTATTTTCTTTATTATATGTTATATCTTTAATTCATTTAGAATTATATCAAGATTTAAAAGTACATATTCTTTTTTAGAAATTGGACTTAATAATAAATAATATGAAACAAATATTAATTATTTATTCAATAAAACTAAATATTTTCCCATAAATATATATATAATTTCAATAAAATGCTTATAAAATTGTATTAAACCTCTTAAGAATACATTAAGCTAAATCAGGTATTCACAGGTAAATCCAGGTAAATCCAAAACAGAAATCAGACTATAATTGCTATCAAAACACAGTTGTTCTATACTAATTACCAAATGTGTGCAAAACGGGAACACACCGTCTACCTCTACCCATTAAAGGCCCCTTAATTGAGTGTGATAATTACTTGTTGGTTTTGTCCAGTAGCCATTCAGGGAATATACAAATTAAACAATTATGAGAACTTTACTTTTTGCACAAACTCAAGCCCATGCCACAGGTTGTAGAGCTGAAACGGATGTTCGGACATTTGCGAATGAATAGTTTTTCGAGAATATTTGATATTCGAATGGAAAATTTTTATTTGAATATTCGGTCACATGTTCAATACCTGTATTTCATGCAATAAATTGTGTATCCAGAGTTTTTGATCATGGTAGGAAAAGAGGCATTTCTCTCCAAATGAAAGCAAATGCATGCATAAGGCAGATTGTAAATTTGTCCACATGGTACTACTGGCCTTATAAAGACGCAACGTCAAATTTATTTAATCATATTCATGGCAAACATTCATCAGCCTCATTTATCTCAGATATAGGCCTATCAATATGACATTGAGCGCAATGATTTTCACTCTCGAAAGTAAAAAAAAAAATTTATATTGTGCAGAGAAAAATACTCCGGATGAGCAAATAGCATCGATTGTTCAGATTTATAAATATAATTGCAGAAATTATTTTTGAACAGTATACATTATATCATACTTTTCTGAGAATGTTATATTTTAAATTTAAATATAGTAAGTTTAAATAAATTTACAGGAAACGTCTGGAAATGGACCGTTTTTTTTTTTTTAATTCTTTTTTCTAATTTAGTTTTTTGTTGTTGAAAATAAACGCGAGTCTTAATGTACATTGTACATGTCAGAGGACTTTGAACTGACATTCATTTCTTCCACCTTCTTAAATACATAAATATATAGTAATAAACAAAGGATTTGCAAGTATCTGAAAAGGCATTTTAACTCCTTTATTTAATTTCGAATACAAATCGAATAACAGTCACGAATATTCGAATATTGATTTATGGTATTCGTTTCAGCTCTAGTTATAATGTGCAGAAATGCCTTTTACAAAATTGTGAATTTTATGGCCCCAGATCAGGGGTTCTGGTGTTAGGGCAGGGCTTATTGATTATATAGTAAAAATATTTTTAGGTCTTCTGAGTAAACTCAGGTGACCTATTGCTATCTGTTTTCGCCCGTTCTTGGTTGTCGTGCTTTAACATTTGAACATTTTTAGCTTCTTCTCTGAAACCACTTTCCAAATTTCAGCCAAATTTCATTGCATCTATGGGTAAGGGAAACAAAAATTGTGAATTTCATATCCTCCCCCCTGAGGCCGGGGGGGGGGGGGGCAAAACCACTAAAATTAATGAAATTTTTAAAAATCTTCTTCTTTACTCTCTTGGACATCAAGCAGTCAAACAGTTAGCATGATTGAAATCAGTATTGAGTCCTCTACCAAAATTGTGAAATTCATGGCCCCGGGTAGGGTTTCTGAGCTAGGGCGGGGCTAAACAGGTTATATAGTGAAAATGCATTATTTCTTTGTTTTTTTTTCTGCTCCTGGGCTTTAAAAAGGGTCAGGGGTTCTGTTGCTAGGGTGGGGCTATATAGATTATATAGTGAAAATGCATAATTTCTTTAAAACCTCTTTTCTGTTTGTGGGCATTAAATAAACTAACCAAGTGCATAGTTATATTGAATAAGACTGCCTCTTCTCAAATTGTGAATTTAATGGCTCCAGGGTCAGGGGTTCTAGTGGTAGGGTGGGGCTATATAGATTATATAGTGAAAATACATTAACTCTTTGAAAATCTTCTCCTCTGCTCCTGAGTATGAAACAAACTAACCAAGTACATAGTTATGTTGAATAAGACTACCACTTCCAAAATTTTGAATTTATCCCCCTGGGTTGGGGGTTTTTTTGGGCGGAACTTTTATTGATTATGTAGTGAAAATCCCTAAAATTCTTTAAAACTCTTTTTTATGCACCTGGGTATTTAACTAAGAACTATGTACATAGTTATGCAGAGGAAGGATGTCTCTTTGAGATTTTTGAATTTCAGGGTCCCTGGGTTAGGGCTTCCTGTGTTAAGGCGGGGCTCTTATGTTTATATAGTAAAAATGCATGAATTTTTGAAAAACTTTTCCTTTGTTGTTGGGTATATATTGCCAATGATCTTAGTATATATTTATGACAAAAAAACCTGCTTCTTTAAACAGTTTATTACCTGGCCCCTGGGACAGAATTTGGGAGGGGGGTAACATAGTCTGAAATAATTTAATGCTTTGAAATCTGCACTTTGGTATTAATCAACAGCATGATGAAATAAATTTTTTTTAAAAATCCAAAATTTTAAAAGATGTGGCCCCCGGGTCAGTGGTTCCTGTGGGATGGGGGGTAAATGTGGACCCACCCTAACACAAGAAGCCCTGACCCAGGGCCCTGAAATTCATTAAAAGTGGAAATCATTTTCTCTTTGTTACCCTATCACCTTGGGATTAAGAACCAAAATAAGCACACTGAGTGTATAATTATGATAAGCAATGGCGCTTCTTTCCAAATTTTGAATTTCATGGCCTCTGGTTATAAAGCACAAACCAAATTCAGTTGTTGGAGAGTTGTTGCATGATACTCAGGTGACCTATAAGGCCTATTGGCCTCTTGTTTTTTAAAATCTTCTTCTCTGCTCCAGTTAGTTATTAAACAAACTAAGTATATAGTTATGATGAGCAAGAATGCCTCTTTAAAAGTTGTGAATTTTATGGCCCCAGGGTCAGGGATTCTGGTGTTGGGGCGGGGGTCTATCAAACATATAGATAAAAGGCAGAAATTCTTCGAAAAACTTCTTGTCTGCACCTGGGTATTAAACAAACTAGCTAAGAAAAGTTATGCTGAGCAAGAAAGCCTCTTCCAAGATTGTGAATTTTATTGCCCCAGGGTCAGGGTTTTTTTTCTGGTGTTGGGGTGGGCTCTATTGATTATATAGTGAAAATACATTTATATTTCTTTAAAAAACTTCTCTGCTCCTTTGAATTAAAAAAACTAACTAAGAACATAGTTATAATGTGCAAAAATCCTCTTTCCCAAAAATTTTGAATTTTATGGCCCCAGGGTCAGGGGTTCTGGTGTTGAGCAGGGCTCTATGGAACATATAAAGAAAATGCACTATTTCTTTAAAAATCTTCTTCTCTGCTCCTGGGTATTAAATAAATAACAAGTACATAGTTATAATGTGCAGGAATGCCTTTTACAAAATTGTGAATTTTATGGCCCCAGGGTCAGGGGTTCTGGTGTTAGGGCATGGCTGTATTGATTATATAGTGAAAATGCATTATTTCTTTAAAAGTCTTCTCTGCTTTGGAAACAGAATTCCCATATTGCTATGATGAGCAAGGGCCATTTTTCCTCGTGATTTTCAAGGCCCCTGGGTCAGGGGTACA